TCTTTGCGAATTAGTAAATCACTGCCTTGTGTTATTGATGCTGTACACCTTGACCTTCACTGCAAATTTGTTATCGTGGTTCTGCATATGTGGGGTCAGAAATACATTATAGTGTCACTTTACATTCCACCCCTTTTTCTATTCTACTCCATTCCATATTAGATAAATTGTCCCTTTACTATCCAGCCAAGTTGTTAATCATGATTGACTTTAACGCAGTCTTGTCTCTGACCTTGGATAGGCCTCCACCCTCTAGGTCCTCTTCGAGAGACCTTGGGATCTGGACCCAGGCTGTGGACTTAACAGAGACTTAGCAGTGGAAACACCCTACTGCCCGGACATACTCCTGTTTTTCCACGCAACATAAAATTACATCCCGCACAGATCTGGTCTTTGTGAACTCCTCCCTGTTGGCTGATGTTATGGGGGCTGACTATCTGCCCAGCAGCCTGTCAGAGCATAGTCCATTGGCACTGACCATTCGCTCCTGGGATGCTCATAAAGCGTACTTCTGGAGGTTGGGTCCCCAGTGGATCTCTCACCTTAAGGCCATGGAGGAGATTATTGCTGCTATTCAAACCAACTGGCTTACGAACTTCAGGTCTTTTGTGGGATGCCTTTAAGGTCTATAATTAGAGGCCAATTTCTCTATACGGGCTGATCACACTTCTGAGGTTTCAGCTTTTCAACGAGAGGTTGATGAGAAAGCTGAATCCTATGCTCCTTCCCATACCCCAGACAATTTTGCACATTTACTGACCTCTAAGAGGGACCTCCACCTTTAAAAGGCTGAAGTTACTAAGGAGGATTTACGACAGAGCAGACAAAGGTTTTTTGAACAGGGGGATAAAAATGGTAGATTTTTGGCTATGCTTGCTCAAAATCATAGACCCCTTATCACTATTTCTGAACTCTGTTCCTCTGATGGCTCTATGGTTTACTCTACTGAGATTCTGGAGGAATTCCTTAATTACTATAGCCAATTATATGCTTCCTCTTTACCTCCAGATTTCGAGGTCTCCCGCCTTACAAACCTATTAGATCCCCTGGAGCTAGGTTGGCTTTCAGACAGGGAATGGGAGATGTTGATGCTTCCCATTACCACTGAACAGGTACATACAGTTGGCATCCCAATTGAATTTTACAAAACACATGGTGACTTTCTAGCCCCTAGACTGGCCTCCCTGTACAAAAAGTGTTTGGAGGACAATTTGCTACACCCTCAACGAATACTGACTATATTACTCAATTCACAAGAGTCCAAAGAACCCTACATCCTATGCTTCCTACAGGCCTATTGCCGTCCTTAATTTGGATCTCAAAATCTTAACAAAACTCTTAAACACCAGACTTGGCAGGATTATAGGGCTGTTGCATCGCTTGACATCGAAAAGGCATTTAACATGGTCGAATGGCCATTCCTTTCGGAGGTGCTGCGTACGATGGGAATGGCTCTACGCTTCATTCAATGGCTCCGCACTTTATACTCTCAACCCACTGTGTCGATTAGACTTAGGGGTAGCCTTTCGGCCTTCTTCCAGTTGGCTCGCAGCACTAGGCAAGGCTGCCTACTCTCTCTGACCCTCTGTGCCCTGGCAGTCAAGCTTATTGCAGAAGCTCTTCGAACCTCATCTGAAATTCGTGGACTACAAGTGGGCTGGGTGGAGGAGTGGGTGGCACTGCATGTTGACGACATGCTGTTCCTCCATGATGTGGGTCCCTCCCTCGTGGGTGCACTTCAAATCTTAAATATGTTTTCTGGTGTCCCTAGCCTCCGGGTAAACTAGAACAAATCTATACTGTTTCCTATTGATGAGGGTGCTCAGGGATGCCCCGGAAGATCTTCCTTTGCAGTGGGTTGACAAATTTTGCTACTTAGGGGTTATTATTTCTCGTAATGCATCTGACTATATTTCCCTTAACTTAACTCCTGTCACACAAGAGGTCAAGGCTAAGCTGAGCGCGTGGGGCAATTCGCCGCTGTCCCTACTGGGACTTATTAATCTTGTCAAAATGAAATTACTCCCTAAGTTCACCTGTTTGTTCCATCACTCCCCACAATGGATCCCCAAGTTCTTTTTTACCCAATTGAACCAAATGTTTCCCACCTTCATATGGGACACTTAGCCCCCGCGCTATAAATTAACCACACTCATGAGACCACCACTTCAAGGGGGGCTGGCATTTCCTGATCGTCCCAAATATTTCCAGGCCTCACAGGTGGTGACGGCTCACTGGTGGCTTCAACCTGAGGTTGCCAATTCTCGCATAATGCTGGAAGCAGCCGTACTGGGTTCCCTGCCTGCTCTACAATTACTATCTTTTCGTGGTCTTAAGGCCCCGTATCCCCTTACTCCATCCATGCTCACGACACTTAAAGCTTGGAATGCGGGCATACGTTTTGAGTCTCATACGTCCATGGAATTGTCCCCTCATGTACCCCTCTGGAACAACCCTATTTTGCAACATTTTTATGCTCTGCCAAACCCACAGGCCTGGGCAAAACACAAAATTAAATCTATCTCACATAATAATGGGAGACTGCTACCGTTCCCCTCTGTCAATAATATAATGTCCCTCCTCATTTTCTATTTTGACACCTGCAGCTTGCTCACACCTTCAGTAGTCAGTTTTCACATCAACCAATTCAGCTTAAATGTTCTGATTTGGAAACCCTCCTTCTGCTGGATCCTCAGGACAAGCTGGCTTCGACACTATATAATCATCTCCTTATGGTGGCTTTGCCTGCCTTGTCCACTCTCCGTCAGAAGTGGTTATTGGATATTCTAAATTTGACCGATGAGGACTGGACAGATATGTGGGATATGTCCTTTAGGAAGTTAGTCTCCCTTAGGGACAGGTTTACACAATTTAAGATTCTGCATAGAGCCTATTACACGCCCCAGAAGATCCATAGGCTTAATCCCTCAATTCCTCCAATTTCCTGGCATTGCAATCAGGATGTTGGTGACTATATACACATTTTTTGGTCTTGTTCAGTTGTACAGGGGTATTGGGACTCAGTGATGGATGTTATAAGCAAGTTAGCACAGATCCTACTTACTCCCTCTCCAAGAATATGTCTGTTGGGCCTGGCAGAGGGTTTTTCCAGCACTGTTGCTGGGAAGACACTACTAGGCCTACTGCTATTATGCCACAAAGGCACTCAATCTGCACTGGAAAAAAAACAGAGGCCTCCACAATTGTGTACTGGAAACATTTAGTAGACTCTCAACTCCCACTTTACAAAGCCACTTCTATAAATAGAGGTTGTCCTCGCAAGTTTGATAAAGTCTTTCCAAAATGGTTAGCAGATACTACCACTGTATAGACCCCCCTGGCACCCGACTAGAATCATAAGTTTGGTGGATTGTTGGCCCTGTATTACTTACTGTTCCTGTAGTTGAGGGGGGACCTATGTTGGGTGATTATATATGCCAAAATGCGGTTGCTGTAACTAGAGTCACACATGCACACACCTTTATTTTTTTTCCTATTTATTTCTTTTGTTTTTTGGTTATGTCGTTGTACTATTTTACACTATATTGTTGGATAATCCCGCTCCTGCGAGTGCTAGGCTTCCAGGTCCTGCTTTTGTGTTTTTCAAAAAATTTTAAATTAATAAAGAGTTTGCTAAAAAAAAAAAAAAAAAAAAAAAAAAACACTTTCAATTTGTATCTAATCAGACAGGCCCTTGCTGTACATAATGGAAGGTATATCTAAAGGGCATTGTACAGAAACAGTACAAGAAATTTGTATCATGTATGGCCAGCCCTAGACTTTACTTAGGCTTTAAGGCCGACTTGTACCAAGTGAAAACTACTGTAAAGCAAAATTCCAGGCAAACAGCAAAATCCATACTTGAAATATATGTACACACACACATACAACTGAGTAGGAGCTGACAAGGAAAGCAGTAAGCTTACTCAGTACGAAATCAGAGAGTTGAAGGATAACCTAACTAACTTGGAGAGGTTTATGTACTACAAGAACAGCCGCTTAGGAAGGTAAAACAGTATGTTTTTATCACCCATATATTTAGCCGTTTCCTGCTTTTTCAAAACAGAATGCTGCCCAGGTTACATGTAGTTCTTGTCATGTGACTAAAAGTTTAGGCATTTGGTCAAACGAACCATAAAAACCAAAACAGATTAGCACCAATTCATATCTAATGGTATCTAAATACAAATCCTATAAAATATTGCTACAATTTATAAACCTAATGAAAAGATTATAACAGTGCTACAAATGAAAATATGCAAATGTAAATGGTATACACAACATATTACAGTCTAAAAAACAGAAATATCAACTAGATACTATAAAAACATAAGTCTCATTCACGCGGGTGCTACGGCCTGTACACTATGAACTGTCCAAATGTTTAGGTAGCTGGAGCTTACAGGTGATGCATGGACTCAGCTGCTTGTCTTAATTTAACAAGCATGCAGGTTACTGTGTCACTGATGCTGCATCCCCATAGAAAATGGGATGCCTGTGCCCAGCATCTGGCAGTTTCAGTTGCAAAAAAACAAATGGCTAATTCACGGTGCACCCTCAGTACCCATGTGAACGAGGCTTTGGGAGACAAGGCATGGACCTGTATATAAATAAATTGCGGGTCTTCTACCTTTTAAGCCACACTTGTCTTTTAAGCATGTTTTTATTCTTGGAAACAAAATGAGTTTTCTTGTTTTAAGGCAGTATACCTCTGTACTTTTTCTCCTTTAATTCACAGCACTGACTGCGTCTTGGTCTCCAGGTAGCAACCGCGAATGAGAAAATCAGAACGGATACCTGCACCCATTAGAGAAGTTCACTGCACCCTTGACATAAAAGTTAAAAGTTGTGCCCAGGAATGTAAGTCAAGAAAAACTTAGACAATTTGAGCACCTTTTCAAACATCCCCATGAATCTAAAAATCACCTGTGTGTCAGTCATGCAATTAGGAGCATTCACTGGTTACCTTATGTGATATTAAGTAAATTGTTGTTAATTACCAGCTCCAGTCCTGCCAGCATTTCATTTACTCCTACAGGTTGACCAATCCAACGGATCACCCCATAGAAAGGTGGGTTCTCCTTAACCTCAGCAAGTGATCCCACCTCAAGCCCATGCAAATTAGACATGTGGGGCAGTTCTGGTGGGCTGTCTTGCAGGGAAGTATGGTTCATCTCTCCAATGACTGACTGCACAGACAACGAGAGAGGGGTATGTCCCATTGTGCCATTGGTACTGGACATCTTGGAAAGGCTGAAGGGGAGAGAATGGAATCTATTCTCTCCTGGTGAACAGCTGCTTGCTGTAGGCTGCAAAGGAGGGGAACAATGTCCATATGATGATGGGGAAGTCTCTGTCAGAGATTTTGCAGAATCTTCAACAACTAGAAGAAATAACATAGATATGAGTCATTAACAGATTGGTATACTACACGAGTTTACAGAACATGTATAAATGCTTAGTAGCAAAACCATATAATTTCATAACCAAGTTTGTCCCTTCCCTAATGATAAACACACAGCTTTCATGAAAGACATATATCATCCCAGTATTAACCCTATGCATTCACCTTTGCTTCTGATTGAAGTGTATATATATCCAAAACCTGTTTTTTTTTTTCGTTTTGGATAGAGTATTCAAGGGGTCAGAACCCGTCATTTTTTTTTTTACTCTGTGTCCCCGTTCAGTATATATACCCTATTTTTTCCTGGTGACCCGTTACCAGAAGAACATTTGATGAGAAACCAAAATCTTACAGTTGTTACCAGAATAGAATTTGAGGGTAAATCTTCTAATGCATTAAGGTAAAAAAAACTTTAAAGCGTGAAAACGACTTTAAGTTTGGACAAGGTGGAGTTTTCTAGAAAATTAAAAGAACCAATTTTTTTTTATGTGTGAGCACAAACAGTTTTATTCATTGTAAGGATTATACTGGTTACTCGTCAATTGAAAACGTAAAGGGAAAAAAAAGTATCTACACTTATGCTGCCCATTGGCTGAGGGTTTTTGGGGTCAAGTATGACAAAGATTAATCATGCATTAGGTCATACAGGGGCCCTGCAGTAAAAAAACAATAACAAGAGCTGAAATGTGACCATCTAGAAAGCCCTTTGATCCAAAGCCTGTTGGAGTGGATCATTGTTTGTATAGTGCTTGACAACTGTCTGTTCATCAGAATAAAGACTGGCCTGTGCTTACATAATCCTAGACTGCGGGTCCACCAATAGGAAGGTACAGGCTGCCATACCAGGTCAGCGGAGTGGCTCTGCAATAAAACTGTCCACTCAGTTGATCATATGATATTGTTCAAGTCGGCAGGTGGAGAGCAATGCTTATGGCAACAGAAGCTGACAGAGAGGACTGTGGCCAGTCATTAGTCTGCACACCAATCACTGAGCGTGAGGGTATGCTCTGCCAGGAGAGTCTGGGCTGTGAAGGAGCAATACCGCGATGCTGTGTGTTGGATTGTTGAGAGTTGAATAAGTGGGGCGGGCCAATAACCTGGCTTGTGCAGCAGAGAGATGGCAGTAAGCACCTACAGATACAGAACTCCAGGGTAGAACCATTCTATACATCACTGTGACAGATGTGGGGTTAGGGGAGGATACAGCTCCGTAAATGGGCAGCACATTTTCTAACACGCTATTTTGCCAGCATGCACTGACAAAATATATGTCAGGTCACGATGTTTGTGGCACTGGTACATAGCAGAGAGATACAGATCCACAGAATACACATTTAAAGATAAAGGGGAACCATGTCAGGATGGCTGTATGGGATTTCAAGATTTCTAATGGTTGCCCTGCTATGCAGCTGAAGCATTGAAGCATTAAAGAATATTTATTTATTCTTAGGCACATATCCAACATTTCATATTCCTGATATGTGCCTGCTATAACATGTACTATGAAGTATGTGTATAAAAAAAGTATCCTGTTCTCTTTGTATTGCTTGCTTTGTGTAAAAATCCCTGGTGTTCTTGCCAGTCCCTCTGCTTTCCTAATAAACACTGACCACACTAGGCATGAGAGCACAGCGTGCTCCTCCTCCTCTAATGATCAGACTTAACCTAACATACCCCACCTACACAGCCATTTACTGGGAAGACCAGTGTGCTACTGTTTCTCCGCCCCCATCTCTCTGAACTCCTTATGCAGCTGATAACAGAGGGCATTTGAAAAAAATGTTTATGTTTATCTCTATACACAAATGTTTTGCCTTTCATTTCTATTTTAAACTGAATGTGGTGCTTTACAAGATGAGGATTCACATATACTTTAACCTAATGTCCACAACATCCTAAAAATAATAGTCCTTATATTAAAGAGACACCATTATACCTTCACAGCGGCTGCTTTCTTGCATACCAGAACTTCCTCCTCGTAATGATCTCTCTCGAGCTGTGAAGACAAGGACACCATTCATACACAGATGCTTTCAACTGTATGTGTTAGCCAATACACAGTATACACTGCTAAGTTATTTCTGTTATAAGACAATGCAACCCGGAAAGGAAAATAATAATTAGATCTTAAGAATAACTGCTGTATAACTTACTTCTGTATGAAACCCTGCCACCATTCTTTTTATCTTTTAAAATCTATGTATTAATTATCATGTACTGTATATCTGACGGTTAAAAAAAAAATTCTTGCAATAGGTGCCAAGGTCTACAAAGTTTACTGCAGGATATGGATCACATAGATCCAGGGAGGTCTTCTCATGAATGTGGAGGGTGATACAGGCTATATCCAAGTTTGCTTTCTCTTTCTCAATATGGGTGCTATAAGCAGCACTTGCGAAAATTTCTGCCAACCTTCCTTTGGGTTTACAAGGAGATTCGCAGCAGTCACAACACAGACAGATAAGCAACTGCAGGCAAAAACAACTGTTCAGCCTTCCTTTTTTCTGAAAATTAAGTTCAACATGCCTTCCTGTGAAGTCAAGTGTGGTGTGACATAAAATTCTTGATTACCGTAACTGCAACTACTCTTAAGCTACTCATTTTTACTAGTAAACTCAATTATCTATAAAAGACATGGGCAGGAACAAAGACAAAGTGTATAGTAACAAGATAAAATGCTTGAATCTTACCTTCACGTGTGTGTCTATAGTTATAGAATACACACACACTATACTGCATTTATTTCAAGGTTATTTAACCTAGCCCTACCACGTGTTGGGTGTGCCGATATCTATAAGGCTCCATGCACACTGAGTGTTTTAGTAGCGCTGCTGTGTAAAGTGATGTTAAAAACGCAGGTTTTTTTTGTGTTTTTGCCTTTCCCATGAAAATAGCATCTGAGGCTACAATATGTAGAATTTAGGGAAATAATCCAACTGCAAATCATAAGGACAAGGATTTTGTTCCCCAATATAAAAAAAACAAAACTGGCAGTTGTTTCACTGGTCCTTTGCTCTCCTTTCTACTAAATCAGCAGTTATATTACTGGTTTAACTTGCTCATTTCTCACTTTTACTATATCTGCCAGCTAAAGGAACATATACTGTATAGGACACCAAATTAATGCATCTCTGTAATATTGTTTTTGTTTAAATGCAAGCAGTGTGAATATGCTGCTAGAAGAAGAAAAAGACAGTAAAGTCATCCATACATGGAGTGAAAATCAGCAGGTTCAGCAGAGACTGCCTGAGATTCGATCCATAAATGGGCAGGCTGATTGTACCCAAGTCGATTTATCGATTGACTTGGGTTCACGCAGCCTGTCTGATTTATTGACATTCGATTACTGCCAGCGGCTATAGCCCTGAGACAAATGAAGCGAAGAGGAGTACATCCCCTAACATCCCACCGTCTAACTAGGAGATATTTGTGACTGATGTAGGAGGAAATCAGAACCTATCCCAATAAATTTTACTTTACCAAAAAGTCAGTGTCCACCTTTGGCAACTTACTATTGTTAGACCATATCTGCAAGTAATGAATACCAACATGAGGATGAATAAGAACAAACATGACAATGGATTGCAACATTTCAGGAAGAATAGGGGAAGAGCATCATTTTCTGCTGCTAAACTCATTGCGCATTTAGCTGCAGATAGCTGTAAAATAGGAATGTAACGTTGACCTTAGACGCAGCACTTTCTTTGTTTTCCTAAATGCAGCTAAACTGTCTGTAAATAAAAGTTACTAAACATTATGTATGAATAACGTGACTACTATGTATTGTGTTAGTCTAGCTGCTTTTAGAAAAGCCTTCTAAAAGCAGCCAAACTCTGAGATTTAGACACCCGTGTGAATGTAACCCAAGAGATAGATGGACTCATCTTTCTTCTCCTTTCACTGTCCTGTCCAGGGTGAAGAGGAGACCTGTAAGTGAAACTGATGCAGGGAAGGATCAGGTCCCCTCCCCTGTCCTCTGTGTGGCAGAGTATTGTAGACCTCAGGACTGGAATAATGGTTTTTGGCTCTTTAAAAAGCTCTCACATAGATAAATTGTCTCTATATTCAGTTGCTTGCCTAGATTTCATCTTTAATAAAAAATGGTAGCTGTACAGAAAAACAAGATTACCTAAAGCTACTGCACGTCTAAAGAGCACCGAGAATGGCCTCTAAATGCACATACAGCTTAGGGTTTCTACACAAGCATATACAGTTGTGTTCAAAATAATAGTGTGTTGAAAAAAGTGAATAAAGCTCAAAATCCTTCTAATAGCTTTTATTTCCATACACACAAATGCATTGGGAACACTACACATTCTATTCCAAATCAAAACATGAAGAAAAATATTTCAAATTTGTGTTGTTCCTCTAAAACAAATTGAAGAAAAGTGAATATTAGACTGTTCAAAAAAATAGCAATGTTTGTATTCTTCTTTACAAACTCAAACATTCACTATATAAACTGAAAAATGTTTGAAGATTTTGCTTTCCTTTGAATCACTTAATTAATATTTAGTAGTATAAGCACTGTTTCTGAGAACTGCTGTACATCTGTGTTGCATGGAGTCAACCAACCTCTGGCATCTGTGAACAGGTATTCCAGCCCAGGATGATTGGACTACATTCCACAGTTCTTCTCTATTTCTTGGTTTTGCCTCAGAAACTGCATTTTTGATGTCACCCCACAAGTTTTCTATTGGCTTAAGATCCGGGGATTGGGCTGGCCACTCCATAACGTCAATCTTGTTGGTCTGGATCCAAGATGTTGCACGTTTACTGGTGTGTTTGGGGTCGTTGTCTTGTTGGAACACCCATTTCAAGGGCATTTCCTCTTCAGCATAAGGCAGCATGACCTCTTCAAGTATTCTGATGTATTCAAACTGATCCATGATCCCTGGTATGCGATAAATAGGCCCAACACCGTAGTATGAGAAACATCCCCATATCATGATGCTTGCACAACCATGCTTCACTGTCTTCACAGTGTACTGTGGCTTGAATTCAGTGTTTGGGGGTCGCCTGACAAACTGTCTCCGGCCAGTAGACCCAAAAAGAACAATCTTACTTTCATCAGTCCACAAAATGTTGCGCCATTTCTCTTTAGGCCAGTCAATGTGCTCTTTGGCAAAATGTAACCTCTTCAGAACATGTCTTTTTTTTTCAACAGTTGGACTTTGTGGGGGCTTCTTGCAGATAGCTTGGCTTCACATAAGCGTCTTCTAACTGTAACAGCACTCACAGGTAACTTTAGACCTTCTTTGATCTTCCTGGAGCTGATTGTTGGCTGAGTCCTTGCCATTTTGGCTATTCTTCTATCAATTTGAATGGTAGTTTTTCACTTTCTTCCACATCTTTCAGGTTTTGGTTGCCATTTTAAAGCATTTGCGATCATTTTAGCTGAGCAGCCTATCATTTTCTGCACTTCTTAATAGGTTTTCCCCTCTCCAATCAACTTTTTAATCAAGGTACGCTGTTCTTCTGAACAATGTCTGGAACGACCCATTTTCCTCAGAATTTCAGAGAGAAATGCACCGTAACCAGCATGTACATTTGCTGCCTTCCTTCCTTAAATAAGGGCAATAATTGCCACCTGTTTTTCAAAGAATGAATAACCTCACTAATAGAACTTCACACTGCTATTATTTTGCCCCTTTCAATTAGTGATTCAATTACACAGAATCAGCAGCATGCATGTCATGACTGTTGGGTCTGTAGGATTTCTATTACTCTACTACACCTGCTAGTAAATTATTTACCATGTAGAAATATAAATCTCTACCAAAAACAGTGATTGATCAGGTTAGTGATGTCTGACTGCTATTATTTTGAACAAATCTGTATGTGTGTGTATATATAAAAAAAAATATATATATATATATATAAATATATATATATATATATATAAAAATATATATATATATATATATATATATAAAAAAATATATATAATATATATAAAATATATATATATATATATATATATATATATATAAAAATATAAAAATATATATATATATATATAAAATATAAAATATATATATATATATATAAAAATATATATATATAATATATATATATAAAATATATATATATATATATATAAAAAATATATATATATATATAAAAATATATATATATATATATATAAAATATATATATATATATATATAAAAATATATATATATATATATATAAATATAATATATAATAATATAAAATATATATATATAAATATAATATATATAAATATATATATATAATATATATATATATATATATATATATATATATATATATATATATATATATATATATATATATATATAATAATATTTAATATATATATAAATCTCTACCAAAAACAGTGATTGATCAGGTTAGTGATGTCTGACTGCTATTATTTTGAACAAATCTGTATGTGTGTGTATATATATAAAAAATATATATATATGTATATATATAAAAATATATATATATATATATATATATATATATATATATATATAAAAAAATATATATATATATATATATATATAAATATAAATATATAAATATATATATATAAATATATATATATATATAAATATAAAATATATATATATAAATATAAATATATATATATATAAATATAAAAATATATAAATATAAATAATATATATAAAATAATATATATATATATAAATATAAATATATATATATATATATAAATATAAATATATATATATATATATATATATATATATATATATATATAATAAAATTATATATATATAAATAAAATTATTGTATTGCATTGCTCGTGACCAGAGCAATGCAATACAATACAATACCATAGTAACATTGTACTACTCGGGGCAAGTGATCAGGATTATTATTTTTTTTTTTTTACACACATTATGATTGCAAATACAAATGTATTTCATTTATATTTGCAACCAATTTTACTGAAGGAAACTGATTCATTCAGTCTTTTGTTGTGACTAGCTGTGATTGGGCAAAGCTCACTACATGGTACATAGGGCTGTGATTGTCCCGGTCTGTACCATGTGACCGCTGTGACCAATCACAGCTAACATCACAATTGTATACAAGTATGGCATGAAAAAAAGCCATTCATTGTATACAATTGTCATGTGATCTGCTGTGATTGGTCACGACACTGGCAGCGGGACAGTGTAGTGATCTGTCATCGGCTGTGTCCCGTGGACACAGCCGGTGACAGATCGTGCTGCTGCGCGACCCCGTGCCCTTGTGAGCAGCAACTTCTGACAGGACATCTTATGACGCCCACTCAGGAGGAGTGTCCTAACTGGCCATCAATCTGCTATAGGCCAGACAGGAAGGTGTTAAAAATGCATGACTTTGCACTTAAACATTTAACTAAAAAAAAAAAAAATACAGCTGAACTAGAAAACATTTTTAAGCAACTTTTTAAAGGGACCTCCTCAAACATACAGTAATAATTTAAAATCCCACAAGTTTATCCTAGATGAAGTATAGTAAGCAATGTACCTTCTTCCATATACCAATTAGATTTGCTCTTCGGTTGATGTGGAGTTTCAATCGAGCTACCATTTAAAGTGTAAAAAAATTCTGAACGGTTCCTGCTTCCTGATTCAGAGGTAGATCCTGAAACAGAAAAGATAAAGGCATGCATCAGAGAATCAGCTTTGAAAGGTTAAAATATTAATATGAACCACTTCCTGAAAAGCAGCATTTGTCTATTCCACTGCCTATTGCTGAAAGAAAACCTGTACTAAGGGAAGTATGTAGTCAGCCACTTCTAATCTACACTATTGAAAATGTTAACTGTTTGGCTGTCATGTTGCTTCAATAATGCCAAAATCACTGACCTGTAACAACTGTGAGTTCTGATTTTACTATTCCTTCAGTGACTACATGTTTTCTGAGTCAGTGTATACAGCTGGCCACACTGCTTCTATTTCAGTGAATTCCTGAAGTTTTAGGCCGTGGGTGGCCCTGTCGGTACTACCTGGTTGCATAAAAATCGGGGGGGTGGCGAATTGTCAGCCAAACAATGAATGTATTCCATGAGGGTGGGTATTCAGACAACCGCGCAGCCTGTGGCTGTCTGAATACTACAGCAGGGGAAACTCCTCTATCCACACCGTATAATCAACTGATTTATCTTGTTCAGCCCTGAGATCAAATGTATATGTCTAGTTATAGAAAGCAACAGAGCCTAGGACAGCCAGGCACCTAGCATTAAATTGTGGGCTCCCCTAGATACAAGACGTGAAATAGATGAATTTGCGTAACCAGTAAAATGTGCTATGTAAAGTGTTACTGTTATACAAATACAGGAAATTAATTTTACATTTAAACCTTTTATATCATACATCTAAATACTGATCTTTAGAAAGATAACTGTGCATCATTAATAATCGAATAGCATGAAAATAGCTTCTTTTTGATGCGTGATACATGTGTGTATACATCTCTGATTGTATGTATGCTATATTACTGTTGTGTATCACTGTTCCTCCTCTTTATCATAATAGCTATATTCATTAGGGGAACTCCACAGTTTAACAGTTTTCACAGTATCGCGGTACAGGGAAATCTTCCAGGTGGGACACCTGTTTCAATGACAACTAATTTGGGATTTTTCGCTCTTTTTGGAAAAAATCCTCACTTCTGATGTGTCTCCAAGAGCAACAAGTGATATGAAATCTTCCTAATGAGACACAGAGGGCAATATGATCTTTAAAAGGGGTTTTACCCTACCCCAATATATTCAAAAAACAAAACAAAGTTATGCATGGAAATATACTATATGCACAACTCCACAATTCTGTTCCCTTAACAGCCCGTCACTGCAGTGTACAGTCTTGGAGTCCACAGCTATACATGCTCATGTATGTCAAACCCAGCAGCAGGAATCAGTAATTACTGCTGGTTGGATTCACTCCATGGCTAAACGCCCCTGTGAATGCAGCCCAAGGGAATTTCATCATCAAGGTCTCATGCTACAACCCCAATGCCAAAAAAGTTGGGATTTTGTGCAAAATCTGCATAAAAACAGAATGCAATGACTTGCAAATCTCATAAACCCATATTTCATTCACAGTAGAAAATAAAAAACATATCCGATGTTAAACTGAGAAAATGTATTATTTTAAGGGAAAAAAAAAGGTAACTTTGAAATTGACGGCAGCAAAAAAGTTGGAACAGGACCATCTTTATCATGATGTTGCATCCTCTTCTTTTAACAACACTGTAAATGTCAAGGAACTGAGGAGACCAGTTCCTGGAGTTTTGGGAGAGGTATGTTGTTCAATTTTTTTGTCGTATTTTTTTTTGTTTCAAGATAAACCAAATACAATGCATGTTCAATTGGTGAAAGGTCTGGACTGCAGGCAAGCCAGTTATGCAACCAAACTCTTCCACTGCAAAGCCATGCTGTTGTCATAGATGCACTATGCAGTTTAGCACTGCCCTGCTGAAATACATAAGGCCTTACCAGAAAAGACGTTGTCTAGATGGCAGTATATGCTGCTCTAAAACCTGGATATACAGTATCTTTCCACACGGATGGTGCCAATCCAAATGTGCAAGCTGCCCATTCCATATGCACTAATGCACTCCCACACCATCAGAGATGCAGGCTTGGCCTTAGAACAGAGCGCTGATAAGCCAGAAGGTACCTCTCTTTTTTAGTTCAGATGACACAGCACCCATGGTTGCCAAAAAGGATGTCAAATTTCAATTCGTCTGATCACAGAAGAGTTTTCCACTTTGCAACAGACCATTTTGAATGAGCTTTGGGCCAAAGAAGACAGAAGCATTTCTGGATCATGTTCAGATATGGTGTCATATTTGCATGAAAGAGCTTTACTTTGCATTTTTGGAAGGTAGGGTGAATGGTCTTCAAAGACAGTGATATTTGAAAGTATTCCTGAGCCCATGCAGTGATGTCCATCATAGAATTATGCCTTTTTATAATGCAGCACCATCTAAGGGCATCCAGTGTTTCATTTCGGTCTTGTCCCATGCAAACAGAGATTTCTCCAGATTCTTGAACTCTTTTGATGATATTATATACTGTAATCGATGGTATATTTAAAGTTTTTGCAATATCAGATTGAGAAACATTATTCTGAAAATTGTTCAACAACGTTAGATGCAGCTTTTCACAGATTGGGTTTCTGAGACGCTCTGCCTCTCTAAAATGTCCTTTTTATACCCAATCATGTTACTCTCCTGTTGTCAATTAACCTAATAATTGCAAAATGTTTTTCCAGCTTTTTCTTGTTAGTACCACTTACTTTGCCAGCTTTCTGTTGCCCTGTCCCAACTTTTTTTTGCTGCCATCAATTTAAAATTTACCTTATTTTTTTCTTAAAACGATACACTTTCTTAAACATTCGATATGCTATTTTCTACGGTCTAGGTTTTCTTTTGTTAATAATATATGGGTTTATGAGATTTGCAAACCATTTGCATTCTATTTTTATGCAGATTTTACAGTGTCCCATCTTTTTGGAATTGGGGTTGTATATATTCATGGGCGATACATAAAAACTGGAACAAAAGAAAAGAAAGACCTCTCTTTCAAGACTAACAACTCACGCAGAAGTGGGATCGGGTACCTGTCAAATTCGTGTACCCGTAGCCCCCCCCCCACTCCCCAAAGGTCTGCAGTCTCTGGTCAACTCCTGTACTATGTCCGCAGTCTCTGGTCATCTCCTGTACTATGTCCGCAGTCTCTGGTCAACTCCTGTACTATGTCCGCAGTCTCTGGTCATCTTCCTGTACTTTGTCTGCAGTCCATTGGTTCGGAATATTTTTTTTCTTGTTTTGCTCCTCTAAAATCTAGGTGCATCTTATGGTCAGGTGCGTCTTAAGGAGCAAAAAATACGGTAGCCCAAGAACATTCAAACTGTGTCCTATTCGCACAAATATTCATGCAGTTTCAATAGACGAATGTCTAATTTTATTTATAAATACACCCATATGTGAAGAGACTACTTGAGGAGTTAAAGGAAAAGTGCAAAAAACCTACAAATAGAGGTAGAATACAAAGCTATGGCATTTTTGTATATTCTGATACTAAGCTCACACAGAAGATCAACTACAAACATAAGTATTGATTTTATCTGTAGAGATATCCCATATTAACTTAAGATTGTGTAAAAGCCTCTGGGCTTGATTCATATGAAAAAAAAAAAAAAGCAGTGAAGGCTGTGTGTTTAACAATGTGACATGAGCTAATTAGGTTGAATCTCTCTACATTTTGAACATCCCATAATGTGATAGAGAAATTAAAATAAACAGGCTATTACATGACTGGGTATTCAAAAGTGAACACAGCTTCAACTTATTCACTAACATTTACTTTGCAAAGTGAACTATTATTGAGCTGGGTGAATAACCTCTATTTCTTTAGTAAGCTGACCCCAGTGTGTTTTCCAGTAAGATAAGGAGGTACAGCTAGGTTTGCCATACTATTTGTTTAACGCCTAACACATGAACATGTAAACAGCGATATATCAAAAAAGGTTTTATTACTAATTTGATTCTATCATAAATGGAGGGATTAGTTGACAATCTGTTCTAAATGTGCATCAATTCTCAGCTGGGTTAATTCACAAGAAAAATGGTTGCTACATACCTATCGATATAATCATACCAGAAAAATGATCATTCAGTGTGACTAACATTTTGGGGGAACCCCCCCACAAATTTAGCAATTTCCCACCCAGGCCAATTCTGACATTTATCTCCTACATGCAAAAATCATCATTTTTTTGCTGGAAGATTACTCAGAACTCCTAAACAAAATACATATATATATATCACTTTTTTTTAGCAGATACTCCGGAGGGTTTTGCTTAATATCTGCATGAAGAATAGTGTGAAGAAGAGCACAAAACCCTGACCCAGAGTCTGCATGCCCTAGGGCAGGACCACCAAATATGTGCCATTGTGCCAGCCTGCAGGCACCCTCGGAAACGGTTCAGTGGGTAAGATGGGATAAAGCAGGCCAGTCAGGCTGGCGTATAAAACCACAGATAGAGGATTTTGTAGGCATTTTCCAGAATGAGTATGTTTTTCAAGCATATAAATAATGCTTGGGTCAAGATCTGCCAGTCCTGCTAGTCGGGCTGATTCAGTTTGCCAGTGCTGGTGATAGGGCCGTAGTGGGGGATGTTTGTAGGAATTGATTGAGGAATAGATTAATGATATTAGGCCCAGGGAGTGGCATCTGGTCCTACAAAGGCTCTCAAAAGAGGTCAATCTATAAGGCGTGGGTTGAGTGTGGAGGAATGAAGAATAAAGTGGCAGAGTTGGAGGTAACTAAAATTTTCCCTCAGTGGAATGTCATGAGAGGACCAAAGGGCATAAAAGGTGAGAATTCTAATAGGGGTGAGTAGAGAATGAATATCTTTGAAACTGTGAGCAGTCCACCAGTCGAACTGCCCTGGATTGTCAAGGCCCAGAGGAAATAACGGGTTATTGAGGAGATGCATTAGGAGAAGATAAGAAGAGATCAGACCTGCTGAGTACTTGATTGAGTCCCATAGTCTAAGTGTATGGGTTAATGTCTGGCTAAGGGACGCAGGGTGATGAGTAGGGGGGAGCCATGGCAAGGAGGGCAGCAGCGTCGGGTGGGAATCCATCAGGTCTATTGTGCCCACAGAGGGATGTTCTGGGATTCATGGGGGCTGGATAAAAGGGGAAATGTTAGCTGCCATGCCAGGTAACATAAAATAAATAATAAAAATTTTTTTATATATATATATATATATATATATATATATATATATATATATATATATATATATACATATATATACATACATACACATACACACATATACATACATACACACACACGCGGTACTTAAAAATCTCCATAGGCGACACTTTAAAAAGGTTTACAGGTTATCAGTTTAGAGTTACAGAGGAGATCTAGCACTAGATATATTGCGCTCGCTATAACGTTTGTGGCAATATCTCACATGTGTGGTGCAAATGCAGTTTAAATATGCAGGCACAACCTACATATGAGTTTATATGCGAGCAAACATTTTATTTATTTTTATATGTGTACACTGTCCCTTTATTTTTATTTTTTTCATTTTAATCACTCATCCCTTCTAATAGGAAAAAAAACATGACAGGTCCTCTTTATGGAGACATCGGGGATCAATAAGACCCCAGATATCTCCTCTACCCTGGAAAGCCAGAGATAAAAAAAAAAAAATGCAAGTTCTCTTGCTAAGGCACAGTTCATACAAGCACTGATGACTCTACACATAGAAGGAGCCATTTGTTTATCCTCCCCTAGCCAGTAGGTGCTGTATGTAGGCAGCCCATTCAGGTCTATGCAGATGCAGCAGCTGCACAGACACAGCCACTGGTCCTAATGTTTCAGGTGTGCAGGTGAGCAGTCCCAAATGCAGACAGTGCGCCTTCACTCTCACTGTTATGGGCATCAGCACCTGAATGAATGAGGCACAACAGTGCTGTGATGATTGAGCAACATCCCAATACTAAATGAAAGGTTACAGTTGCTGAAGCATAGCACAGCAAAATGAACCTCAAGTCATCTGAATGAATGCAAAACATATCTTCACAGAGATGGAAAGCAAATGCACAGTATATTCAGGTACACACCATAATCTAATTTAGTAAGGATATACTCCAGATACCTGTAACCTTTGGTTTGCTATGATTGGATAAGCTTTTTTCACTTCCACATCTTGAAGTAAAGGCAAGTTTTAAAGGCCTCCTTTCTTGGGTTACAGATTCTGCAATAAAGAGATATTTTCAGGGTTGGACACAATCAAAAAGCAGGGTAACCAAGTGTGCATAACCTTTTTTGAGCCTACTCTTATCACAACAGCCTTGTTACATTTTATAGTTGGACTGATGACACCACTATATGATGCTGCTTTGCACCTTCCCTATTTCAGCCTGCTCATTAGACAATGAATTAATACAAACATGTTGATAAGGTCCTTCCAATTATTCTGACCTTTTGAAATCTACTCATCTATCCTTCCCTTTCCAGGACTCTATGTCTTAAAACATGCTTGACTGCAACACCGACCAAAATAATAGAGCCAAGAATTAGAAAGAAAAAAAAAAAAAAAAAAACACACATTGCACATTAATATAAAGCACACCACTGAGCTTTATAAAAGTGTAATTTGAAAAAGAAAAAAAAAATGTAGTATGACCGTGGTAAGGCCATTTAGCTGGTTTATTATTTGGGCTTTAAGAGAAGCTAAATAAAAAACAAAGAGCGCATATAAATATTTCCGAGGTAGGTTTCAAAGTTTAATTTATGGTTTCAGAATACTGCATACACCCAACTGTGTTCTCCTTAAAGTGGAGTTACACTCACGCTGTCAAGAAGATAAAAGCCAGCAGCTACAAAAACTGTAGCTACTGACTTAAAAAAACAGCCACTTACCTGTCCCTCGATCCCACGGTGTGTCCCCTGCAGCCGTTTTCACCGGCCGTCCTGTATTCAAGGAGGCCAACATCTGTAGTGTGGGTACCCGGCTGTGATAGCTTACGGCTTTACAGCCGGGTACCCACTGCGCATGCGCGAGTAGCACTGCACTTCATGAATGGTATGAATGGTCCTGTAGTCTTCTGGGACCTGTCACAATGGAGGGAGGGAAGGACACCTTCCGCTAGGTGATCGGGACCAGAAGTGGGAGCGGGTACCTGTCAGATAAAGGTACCCGCCCCCCAAAGGTGCCAATCCTTAATGGGGAGCGGGGGAGCAGTACTTAAAGCGGAACTTCCCCTTTTGTTTGGAGCTTCGTTTTATTAAAGTACAAAACTTTTTCATTCATTTTTGGATATGATGGGAAAGGGATAGAACCCGTCAGGTTATACTTTTATTCTGGGCTCTGTTAAGAGAGATTTAACCTTACTTCCTGTTTTGGGGGTAACATTTTACCAGGCAGGAAGTGAGGAAAAAATCTGCAACAGGAAAACAGACAAAAATAAAAAGCTGAGAGGATTTCTAACCTTCCCCTACTTAACTTAAGAAAAGCAGTTTTATTTTTGCTTGTATTTCTGTTGGGGAGTTTCCTTAAATTCCTGTCTGGTAATTGTCCCAGGGAAATGAAGTAAGGGGACAACTCTATAATGAACCCCCAGATAAACAGTAAAACTCCAACATGAGTTGTAACCACTAGCCTACCAGGCACTTATACCCCCTTCCTGCCCAGGCCAATTTTCAGCTTTCAGCGCTGTCGCACTTTGAGTGACAATTGCGCAGTCATGCAACACTGCACCCATATGACATTTTTATAATTTTTTTCACACAAATAGAGCTTTCTTTTGGTGGTATGTACTCGCCCACTGGGTGTTTTATTTTTTGCACTATAAACAAAAAAAGAGCAAACATTTTGAAAAAAAAAATGTTTTTCTTTGTTTCTATTATAAAATTTAGCAAACAGGTAATTTTTCTTCTTCACTGATGTGTGTTGATGAGGCTGCACTGATAGGCAGCACTGATGGGCACTGACAGGCGGCACTGATGAGGTGGCACTGATATGCAACAATGATGGACACTGATATGCAACACTGATGGGCACTGATAGACGGCACCGATGGGTGGCACTGCTGGGCACAGGTGGGATGGCACTGCTGGGCACAGGTGGGTGGCACAATGGTCAATGATCATCAGTGCCCTGATCAGTGCCGATCCCTCCTCTGACAATTGTTGGTTATCGGCAGTACTTTCCTCACGCTGTGACAGCGTGAGGAAAGTGCAGCCGATAACCGGCACCTGCATTTACCGGTGATCTGCTGTGTCACTGGATTCGGCTGATCACGTGAAAAAAGGCTGATGTGATTGGCCTTTTACCACATCACATGATCAGCTGAGTCCATACGAGACAGTGATCACGGAGATCACCAGGGGCGTGCGGGAGGGCACATTCCGAGAGGACGTCATATGACGCCCTCCCAGAATTGGCCGGTTGGGGTGAAACAGTCATACGGCTATCTGAGGTCGGCAAGTGGTTAATCATTCCCAACACCAGAATCTATGGGGCATTGCCAAGAGAAAGATGAGAGACATGAGACCGAACAATACAGAAGAGCTGAAGGCCGCTATTGAAGCATTCTGGTCTTCCATAACACCTCAGCAGTGCCACAGGCTGATAGCTTCCTTGTCACGCCGCATTGAGGCAGTAATTGCTGCAAAAGGGGGCCAAACCAAGTACTGAGTACATATGCATGCTTATACTTTTCAGAGGTCCGATATTGTTCTATGTACAATCCTTGTTTTATTGCTTGCATGTAATATTCTAATTTTCTGAGATTGTGGATTTGGGGTTTTCATGAGCTGTAAGCCATAATCATCACAGCTTGAACCATCTTGCTTTCAATGTAATGAGTCTATCTCATATATTAGTTTCACCTTTTAAGGTGCATTACTGAAATAAATGAACATTTGCACGATATTCTAATTTTTCGAGTTTCACCTGTATAAGGATAAAAAGATGTATTATAGACGTCTAAGGCAAAACGCCGCTAACCCTCAGGAAAGCCGAAGCTGCACTGCGCTGTACCCATGGTGCAAGTAACCACAGCTCATCAGAGTGGAAACAGACTTATGCAGGCCATAGATGGGTCGAAAATCGGCCGATTTTTCGGCCGAAAATAAAATCGGCCGATTTTCGGATCGTTAGTGGGCTATTTGTTCGGTTTTTTTTTCGGGATTTTGGCCGTTTTTTTTTTTTGGTAAAGTTGGAAAAAAAAAAAATCGGCCGATCTTCGCGGCAATAATGGGCTAATCGGCCGATTTTTTACCGATAAAAAAATCTGCGCATGAGCAGTGACCTGCAAGAGGAAGACAAAAAGAAGAAAAAGAAGAAGAAGAAGAGGATGAAGGAGAAGAAGAAGAAGAAGAAGAGGATGAGGAAGAAGAAGAGATGAGGATGATAATAGGAAGAATAATAAGAAGAGGAGGATGAAGAAGAAGAAGAGGATGAGGATGATGAAGAAGAAGAAGAGGATGAGGATGAAGAAGAAGAAGAAGAAGAGGATGAGGATGAAGAAGAAGAAGAGGATGAGGATGAAGAAGAAGAAGAGGATGAGGATGAAGAAGAGAAGAGGATGAGGATGAAGAAGAGGATGAGGATGAAGAATGAGGATGAGGAAGAAGCAGAAGAGGACGATGACGAAGAAGAGGATGAGGACGAAGAAGAAGAAGAGGATGAGGACGAAGAAGAAGCAGAAGAGGATGAGGACGAAGAAGCAGAAGAGGATGAGGACGAAGAAGAAGAAGAAGAAGAACGAGGATGAGGACGAAGAAGAGGATGAGGATGAAGAAGAGGATGAGGATGAAGAAGAAGAAGAAGGGGATGAGGATGAAGAAGAAGAAGAAGAAGAAGAGGATGAAGAAGAAGAAGAAGAAGATGAGGATGAAGAAGAAGAAGAGGATGAGGATGAAGAAGAAGAAGAGGATGAGGATGAAAAAGAAGAAGAGGAGAGGATGAAAAAAAAAAAAAGAAGAAGAAGTAGGATGAAAATAAGAGGAATTCCAGTCCAGCAAAAAGTGTCTCTGCAGAGAGCTCCGCTATTTCTTTGACAGTTCTCGACAGTTCCTTGACATTTATAGCGGTTGCAACATTGTATCTATTTGTTTCCGAATAAAAACATCTGTATCCTAAATGGAAACAAATAGATACAATGTTGCAACCGCTGTAAATGTCAAGGAACGGTCAGAGAACTGTCAGAAATAGCAGAGCTCTCTGCAGGGACACTTTTTGCCGGCTGTAGACGGGATGAAAATCGGGCGATTTTTTTTACCATTGGTGGTAACGTCGGCCACTTGAACGACCGATTGTTCGTTTTTTTAAAAGAAAAATCGGCCGATTTTCGACCCATCTATGGCCTGCATTAGAGGGAGCTCAGGTTAGAAAGGAATTGTTTAGAGGGGGCGGCCTCCTTGTCATAATCTGTTTTACACTTGGACATGAGGAAAGCAGGCTTCTCCTCCTCTCTCTCCTGTCAGCATTCACAGCTGCAGGAGGAAATGTTCACTATACAATTTAAAAATAAAAAATTCAAAATTCTGAACCATTTAATTTCATTGTGACCTGCAGGTAGGCCAGCCCTGGATGTAGCTGTAGGTCAGCCCTGAATAACCCCTCCTGTACCCAGCATGCCTCAGTTTGTACAAAAATCCCATATTTATTCACTAAGAGACACAGGAGTTCAAATACAGTCAAGAAATCCAAATGCAGTTCAACTGAAAGCTGGGCAACACAGGAACAACTGCTAACAAGTCCACCGTAAAGACCTAGTGACTGCATGCAGCCCAGGTTCACACTGATGCAGCGCAGAATTCACACCCATTTCTGTGCGCTGTCCGCACTGCATCATGATCGCATCCTGTTCATGCAAACCACTTGCCCTCCAGAGGATTTACCCCCTTTCCTGACCAGACCATTTTTTTGCGATACGGCAGCACTGCGCTATTTTAACTGCCACGGTCATGCAACACTGCACCCAAATTAAATTTATGTATTTTTTCCCCCACAAATATAGCTTTCTTTCAGTGGTATTTAATCACCTGTGCGTTTTTTAGTTTTTGTGCTATAAAAACAATAAATGACAGACAATTCTGAAAAAAATATTTTTATTTTTTACTTTTTGCTATAAAATATATCCAGTAAAAAAATTAAAATATCAAATTTTGTCATAAAATTTTCTAAAAAAAATCCCAATAAGTGTAAATTAACTGGTTTACGTGAAAGTTATAGCGTCTACAAAT